TTCTGTTCTACACATGGATTGGGTAGCAACGGACAAGTTCCCATAAGAGGCTATATACTAAGGATGTAGGGTGCATATAATCATTCCTTTAAAATGTATAATAAGAGTTAGGTTCAGTTTCACAAGCAGGTTGGTTAAGTGAAGTAAACAGAGAGGTGGGAATTCAGTGGCCATGGCCGTTTGTATTTTGAGACCGTGTTCGTCACTGAGTCACTTTACTTCGTACTTTTCACTCCCAGCCAGCTCACGTTTAAAATGAAGTTAATCAGGGTAGGCTATTACCTTCTTCCCTACGATGCTGACACTCTTTCTCAGTGTCACTTGAGCTCTTTAAAAGGGAGGACCCGGTTTGGTACTTAGGATTTCCTATTAGATGGCCCCACCCACTCCTCCATCCTCACTCTGCATGCCAGAGTGGGGATGGTAAGTAATGAGACTAGAGAATGTTGCCGGAGTGGTTCCACACATGGGCTTTGGGACGGACGATTTGAGTTTGGGTCCCGACTCTCCTACTTAGAATCTGTGTGATCCTGGGTGAGTTCTTTCACTTCTCTAAACCTTTCATTATAATCCATGGAGATCTCATTGCACTGCACCAAGTACATAGTAAACCCTGAAGAAACTGTGACTATTATCATCCTAATAATAAACCTTAGAAGCTATTCTCAGGAAGTTCATAGACTATTAGAAGCTGCACAGAGGCTTGGAGGCCATTTAATCCAACACCTTCCCTTTGCAGATCAGAGGACCAGGGGAGGTGAAGTCACAGAGCAGAGCTAAGACTAAGGCACAGAACTCTTTTCCATTCAACCATGAAGTTCTCAGATCTCATAAGAGAAGACAAATAATATTCAGCTCACTTGGGTCAATGGTGGAGAGAAAAGCCAGTAGTGACCTAGAGAACATTGGCTCTGGGTGGGCTGAGGCCCTAGGAAAGGCCCATGGTAGTTTCCAAAGGGGGTGCATTCAGGAGGAAGAGGAGTGTCCAGTGTCAGTTGGTCTCATTAGAGACTTCCTGAACAGATCACTGATGGGATTGGATTTCCCAACAGCTCAAGCTTTCCCTACCTGTCACATCAAATGTTTTCACCTGAAGGGATCAGCCCCACTACAATGACTGTGCTGATGTTACCTTGGTTGCAACTCCATCCCCATCAATAACGGGGTTTAACAAGCAGCCTGGAGAGTACAGAATAAGGGTCTGGAGAGTACAGAATAAGGGTCAGTAAACTATGGCCCATGGACCAAACCCAACCTGCCACCTGTTTTTATAAAGTTGCATTGGCACACAGCCATTCATTCATTTAGGTACTGCCTATGTCTGCTTTTGTGCTATGATGGCAGAGTTGGGTAGTTAAAACAGAGACCCAATGTTATGCAAACCCTAAAATATTTACTATTTTGCCCTTTATAGAAAAGATTTGTCAGTATCTGGTACACAGCCTTATAGCTACTTAGGAGACAAAGGCCCTGTCCAGGCAAAGAAAGGATCAACTGATTTCTTCGGGGTATTTTTATGTCCCTGGCATAAATGTGATTTCATTAGCACAGCTGAAGAGAAACACCAACTTAGATAGAATCCCCATACAATCCAAAGACCACCTTTTCCATGTGGGTCTGAAAGACAGCTGTCCAAGTCCCCTAAGGATAGGCCTAGTTTCCGGCCTCCCTGTCAATCTGGGGTGTGGAGGGGATGGAACCAGTTGAAGAGAAACCAAGCATTACTTGGGCAGTTAAGAAAGCCATCTCTTAAGGAATTGTGTGCTATAAACCAGGCACTTGCCATTCATTATTTTATTCATTATAACAATCCTTTCAAGTAGTGTGATCGCCCCCATTTTACAGAAGGGTAAACTAAGGGTGACCTAACGTCACAGAGTGAGTGCCAGGCAGAGATTTGTAACCATTTGGCTCCATGTGATCTGATGCGCATAGATGCAGTTCAACTGTCTAAATGCCTAACTATATTAAGTGTAGCTGACAGTGGCTTAAGTTTGCTCAACCCAGACAAAATAAAGATCTAAGTCATTATTTTCTAGCAGTTTGTGCTGCAAAATACTATGCTAGAAAATAATCATTTGAAAATTCCTGTATGTTTAGAAAACTCTGCCTATATCACCACTTTCTTGGAAACACACAAAGCCATTAGCAAGTTATGGACTCTGAGAAATCCTGCAGTAAAGATCCTATCCAACCCCCACCCCCCGAATTTAGTGTTCCTCAAACACTCTGTCGTGGAACCCTTTAATTAACAAATGGCATCCAGAAAACTAGTATTCCAAGAGACACACTTTGGGAACTGTTGAACTAGATGATGGTAATGATGATGGTGGTGATGATTGATGAGTGATGATAACAGCTAATATTTATTAAGCAACTACCAGGAGCTGGGCATTAGCCTAGGCATTCACATGTATTAATTCATTTAACTCTCATAGCAATCCTATGAGACGAGTACTGTATTTAATTCCCCACTTGATAGATGAGAAAACCAAGGCACAAAGAGATAAACAACTTGCCGAAAGACACACAGCTAGTAAGGCCTGGAGACAAGCTCCTCGAACAGGGGGATTGGCTATCAATTCATCTTTGCATGGCCTGCACTTTGCACAGTGCCTGTCACAAAGCATACACCCAGGAAATGAGGTTGAACCACACTGGAAATGAGATCCTAATAAAAAGGAGAAGCAACTAGAACGTGTTGAATAGAACATTTAAGATCTTTAAGTGCTATTTAAACAAGGAGGGTACTCCCTCATCATTTGGGGTTTCTATTCCCGACATGACTGTTTGTACCCTAGATAATGTTACTACTACAAACCATTTTTAATACTGTAACCAAGGATCCCTGGGTGGCGCAGCGGTTTGGCGCCTGCCTTTGGCCCAGGGCGCGATCCTGGAGACCCGGGATCGAATCCCATGTCGGGCTCCCGGTGCATGGAGCCTGCTTCTCCCTCTGCCTGTGTCTCTGCCTCTCTCTCTCTCTGTGACTATCATAAATAAATAAAAATTTAAAAAAAAATACTGTAACCATTTTCATATTCTATTTAATAAACCTGACTTTAGGTTAATGCAGAGATCATAGAAAAATATCAGACAATGCAGATCCTATTTAGCCACGAGAAATAACATTTCATTTGAAGGTGCATTAAATTAGGCTTTTTGAGTGGCATAAAATATACGGAAAGAGGCAAAACCACATCCATAAGGAAGCACTCTATTGCCTTTGTTGGTAGAGTGGATGGAATTTTTTAAATGCAGTAAAATAACAGTTACTGAGAAGAGACCATAGCAACTTTTTAAATATTACAGGCCTAAAAATATATCAAGGTCAAAATTAGTAGATAAGATACTGGTGAATTTTCAGTGTAGATTTGAGGGAAGCCAGAAAGCACTGAGGAAGAAAAATCAACACACTTTCAGCTTTGAAAGGAAGAGAAGCAAAGACAGCCTGAGAGAAGACTATGTTTTTGTGTCCTGCAAAATAAAAAGAAAATTTTATGTTTAACACTTTGGGAGCTTCAAATGCAGTGATTAAATTATATTACTTCTCATCACATTAACAAAGAACATTCCTGAATGATAATTATTATGATAACAGTTGACTCTTAATGAGGGATTCCTGTGCTGTTTTAAGCACCTTGTATGTGTAGCTCTGGGACGTGAGCACTGTTATTATCTCCATTTCATAGATGTGGAAATAGAGGCAGAGAGACAAAGTTTTCCCATGATTCCACACCAGTATGGATTAACTAGATGGTTAACTTTTACTTCAAACTCCAGTAAAGAAGGTTCAAAGGCTCAAGGATGCCCACAGGTCTGGGAGGCAAAATAAACTCCACTACCGACATCAAGGTATGTCAGAGATTCACTAGGTGGACACAGAAGGGCGGGCCAAAGGTGGCAATGTGGAGTTGGATCCTTGCCAATAAGCTCTTCCTTGGTAGTTCGTTCTATGACAAGTGTCCAGGGGTTGTAATATATCTTGCCACGTAAGAAGCCCATCCACATAAGGTTGTGCATTAATCTTGACAGGTACAGTATGTTGTCCCTCCACCCACCTCTACCACTGGCATGTGCTAGGATCTCTAACCCCACAATCTGGCCACATGCACATCCCTCCAAAATATGGTCAATCGCTTATGCTCATGCTGTGATGGTGCATCAGATATTCAGGAACTGAATATCCCAAATATTCAGAAACTGTGCCACACATCCTGTGGTATTCAGAAAAGTCCAGGAAAAAAAAATGTAAACGTCCCTTTAGGGGTAGCACAGATGACTCCATGCTGATGGAAGAGAAAGATGGAATTTTGCAATAAAACATCATGCCCAGCATCACAGCGTGGGAGCCACTGGAAGAGTTAAACACAGAAACCCTAAGACAATAACAAATTAGGTATTGAGTCAAAACAAATATTGAAAGTTACCTTCATAATTGTATTTGTGTTCCAAAATGCCTATTTCTCCCTCTCCTCTTTTGGAGTGACTCTTAAGTCAGTTGAAGTAAGCAAAGAATTTGTTTGCTGAGAAGGTATGAGGAGGCGTAACAGCACACAGTCTTCACGCGATAAATAAATACCTAACCCTGAGGAAGAACACTTGACAAGAGAGGATGTTTTCTAAATAGATGGGTCAATAAAATCCGTTAGATATAAAAATGGAAAGTGAATTCTTAAATTCCCATCAATGAGCATATCAAAAACCTACCTCGAAAAACAGATCAAAAAGATAAGCACTGCATTTTTGTAGATGGTCATTTAATTCTCATTCATAACTTTGCTCGTCTCACACTTCAGTGCAATTGAACAAAAGTAGTTTCTCCCTCCTCAGTGGTACCTTCCCAGCCTCAGATCCGGTCTCATTCGTGCCCTAGGAGTCGGTCTTTTCTTGAAGTGAATCACCAAACGACGGGTGAACAATCCTCAAAAGTCTGATGTATTAAGCAAACAGGCGAAGAGTCGCAGAGCTAACGTCAAAACATAAATATGCCTCCTTACCTGGATGGCTCTGACATTGGAAACCGGCTGTTTCGACATATTCACGGGGTCTTATCCCTAAAAAAACAAGTGAGAAACTGTTAGAGGTGGCGGCATCCAGATTGGCCAGCTTGATAAATTGGAACTTAACTCATGATTCAACTGGGCAGTCACCCCTTTCGGTGGCCCTCTATTCTTTCCGTCTCAGTTTCTGAGGTTACTTAGAGACCCCCCTCCCTAATGCCTTGGGGAGAGGGAACACTAGAGGGCCCCGATAAATCATTCAGGAGGAGAAATGCTGAGAGGCCTCGCCCCTGATCTAATGATAGGCGATCAGAAACTTGAAAGGCCCTATCATCTCCTTCCCTGCCCTCCTGCCCCCACTGCCCGGAGCAGCAGAGCTAAGAAGTTGTGGGAATAAAACCCCTTTGTGTGGGGCCTCAGGAGCTCTGTCTCCGCTTGAAACTGAACTTCTGCTCCCAAGGAGCGGTTGCCAGGGCTGGGTGTCAGCCCGTTGGGAGTTCGTCCTCCGCCCTGAAGGGCCGGCTGTGCCGGGTCCTCACTCCTGGCCGCCCCCCTCCCCGAGCACGTGTGTGCTGGGCCCGGGCCTCGAGGGCGCCCTGAGGACGGCCACGGTCCCCCCCATCCAGCGAGCGCAGGCCGCCGCCAGCGCCCCCGCAAGCAAGGACTCCCGGGACCCGACATTTCCCCAGATGCAGCAGTGCTTCCTCCCCAAAGGACTTGGGCTTGCTCTCCGACGGGCCCTGACTTACAGCAGGTGGCTTGGTGGCCCTGGTTTGCAGGTGCCAGGGGGACAGGGAACAGCCTGCCTCTGACCTGCCACCGCACATGCAAGTACTGTCAGAGCTGGGTCTGTCAAATAATAAATAAATAAATAAATAAAATAAAAATAAATAAATTAATTAATTAATTAAAAATAAAAATAAATCAGTGAACAGAAAACATGCTGCTCTTTAAACCCAAACTATAAAATGGGTGGACTGACTTTCCTCTACTAACTGGTGTAAATGGGTGTGCTACCCTGGGAGCGAAAAGGAACACCGACAAGCAGTGTGGGCGCTTGTGACAAGTCCTGTGTCACGTGGCCTGTGTCAACACTTCCAGGCCCTTTGCCTCTTCCTTAGATTTTACCTGATTCTTAGGCTGTGGTGAGAATCAAAATGGCATAGAGTTCCCAAAACTGTCTTGGGAACTCGAAAGCGGGATGCAAATATTTATTGTTTCATTGCCATTGTCCACAGCTCCATGACTTTTCAGTACTTTATTGATCTACGGCTTCAAGTACAGAGTAAGAATTGATGTAGCGACAACGCCCCTCACCACTTGTACATACGAAGGATCTGACAACTCTGAAAAACATTTAGTTTTTTGAGATCTTTCAAAGTCCTGGCTCTATTATAGGAAGTTAAACAATCACACAATTTTTAAAACTCTCTAATACATCCAAATGTAAATCTTTGGAGTCACATACATGAAAACAGTGAGGTTTTTTTTTAAGTTTCTTTTTTTTAAGATTTTATTTATTTATTCATGAGAGACCCAGACAGAGAGAGAGGCAGAGACACAGGCAGAGGGATAAGCAGGCTCCATGCAGGGAGCCTGATGGGGGACTCGATCCCAGATCCCGGGGTTACGCCTTGAGCCGAAGGCAGACGCTCAACCCCTGAGCCACCCAGGCACCCCTTTTCTTTACGTTTCACCTGAATGTTTTGGTCATATATAGATATAGCCTGCATCTAGAAGGGTCAAGGTAGAAATACCTTTGCTTTGGTTAAAAAGTAACAAATTGAACAATTAGGAATGTATTTTTTTTCTCTATGGTATATTTCAAATAGATTTCAGTCTTTCCCTGCAGTATCAAAGAGTCAATGAAGGCTTTAATTTTTGGATCTAGGATACATAGTTCAATATCAAAAGGAAAAGCTTGGTAGTTTAATTTTTAATGTTTTTTTTTCCTCAAAAGCTCTTAGAAGTCATGCAAAGCAATAATTCTCACAGGACTTTAAACATCTCAGCATATACCTTCCGATGTGCTTGTACAACTACAGTTTAACCAGCATCACTTGGGAACTTACAAAGAGTTTTTGTATTCAATTGGAAACAGAGTAAGTAGGAAATTTCTTTTGTTAATTACAATAGCATGTTGAAATGTAAAAAACAAATCAATGAGTGATTGTGTTATTTGTATTGCACTCATTTTTTAAAATTAGGCTGATTTTGTTTTTTCACCAAACTATTGGATTGCTTTGCTTTCTTGTGGACCTCTGAGCCTAAAGGATAGATATTATACCTTGGACCTCGTCTCCTGTATAATCTGGGCACGATCTCGTTTGCATATGAATTCCTTCTGAACATATATGTCAATCTGCAATAGAGACATCTTTAGAAAGTTGGTCAGATCCCAGCTCTCATTCCTTGCAAACAGGCTATATAACATTTGTGTAAATCAGTCCTGGAGCCGTTCCTGCTGTCCTCATTACTCGCAGAGAAATCAGGGCAAAGCACACTGATGAATAAAAATAGACAGTGTTCCCTGGCTGTTTCCCCAGCCCTGCATTCACCTCCGTCAGGGATGCAGTGGAGAATGCACTTTCCTTCTTTATCTGCATGCCTCGTCCGGCGACCAAAAAAGAAAGCTATGTCTTAGATGCACAACTCTACTCACAGCCGACCACAGCCTTTCATCCAAAGAGGTACCCTTTAGCGTACTCTGTTACTGTGTCTCCTGGCTCTGGCTAAAATTGGGAAACACGGCAAGTTTGGCAAGACGTATATTGACTTTTACAAAGCCTATACTATAATGGAAATGCTTGCCAGCTTAGCACAGTCATGTTGGGTTTTCCTGGAAGATCTGCAAGCGGTGGGAAACTTTAATGGTCTGTATGCTGAGTCATATAGAATATACCTCTGCTGGTTTTTTGATTGGGCGGCACCTAATATCTGACTTCTAAATAAGACTCTTTCACTTACCAAAAATTTGTCAACATTGATATCACTAATTTAATAAGTGAGGATTCAGAGTAAAATAAATCAATATTTGGATAGAAGGGGCTTTATTTGTTCTTTTTAAAAGTCTACTAAATGGCTAAAGCTCAATCTCGACGGGAATTATCTTCTGTCCTGCAGCTAAAAATAATTCCTGAGAAGGGTGTAGAAAGATGTTCAGCTGTCTGAACTGACTAACTCCTTATTCACTTTGCCTGAAATATGCCGAGAGGCAAGCGGCACTCATGGTTGCCGTGTCTCAGAACCTGGTGCCCACACGGGGGGACAAGTGCTGCCCTCCACCCTGCCGGGTACAGGGAACACTGTGACCTACGTGGGGCTCTTCGACAAGACAGTTTTGTAATTCTAATCGATCTGTATGGTGATAGAACTTTATCACTGAGGCCAAGCCTGACGCCGGGGGAGAGGGGAAAGGCACTTTAAACCTGTACTGGGTAATAACTCTGGCAATGATTTGCATTTAGGTAAATCAGAGAGCTAGCCTGGTAGCTTTTCTCTACTGCACATTCTCCTGCTTATTTCTAGGCTTACAGCTCGGATCGGTCTGCAGCTGCCTGACTGTGGCCCTGGCCATAGGAATGAAAATGACATAGTGCTCAGGGTCACAGTCCTCCTATGTGGACCGTGGAAATTTTCTTCATGTCACTGTCAATGAAAACTACTTTGAGTTCAGTATTCTTTCAGATAGCCCCCCCCATACACACACACACACACACACACACACACACACTTTCTAAAACAGAATCAGCAACACCACCAGTGAACAGTGAATTTACAAGGAAGCTACATCCACTAGTTACAAGCCTACAAAGTTCTAAGTAGTCACTTCAAGTTAGGTATCAAGGAAATTTCCTTCAGAAAGCCCGGTGGCCCGAGCTGGGTCCTCCTGCTTACCTGCTCTACGTATTTGTGTGCTGCCTAAGGAAAGTCCCAGGCAGCAGGTGCAAGGATTCAAGGCTCCTCAGAAGGTGGAAGGGACGCCCGGTGTCCTCTGAGCTGCGATCTCAATTCCGATGCTTTGCATGTGGCTGAAATAGCTCAAGCGCTCGGTGCCTCTCTCGGTACTGAGAGCTGCTCCCCGCTCGGGGCTGGAGGGAAACTCGACTTAAGGCTAAGTGTTAAAGAGAATTCCTGTCATAGCTCACAGTTGTTCTTCCTAAATATAGAGTTTGATACAAGCCATATACTGGCTGCCTCCGAAAGGCCTGACCGTGCTGAAAGCAGGGCTCAAATGTCAGCCGGAAGGTGGCTACGGAATCTTACTGCCCTCCTAATCTTCCAGAAGGTGCTGGCTGCGCTTTCTCACATGTTCTGAGGGGGCACAGAGAAGTTTGGAAAGTAGGAAAAGTTTCTATCTTTAGCCTTATTACCTGGAGGCCAGAAGATGAGGAGTGTTCGGTACAAATGAGAGATGCGGCGTGGCCCCGAGCTTCTCGGCAGGGGCCCCGACGCCCAGCGGTACTGGGGCCCTCGCTGGGTCACTTAGGGGCTGTTGAAATTCTGTTGTGAGCAGCAGTCAACAAATGCTCCCCAAATGATGATAATTATAACGTTATGTCAAACTATAAGACATCGCCCTCTTTGTAGGTCATAAATGGTTCCAGATCATTCAACTCAAATGTGGTTCGGGGGCTGAGTCCTTGCTGTCTCTGCTCTGCTGCCTCTGCTGGTGACAAGGACACCACAGAGCACAAGAGGCAACGGCACAAAACAACACTAAGAGGAAATCTCTGGTTTCAAGTTCTGACGGGGCTAGGACCAAGTATGATGCAAGACACTTTTTTAAACAGAACACTCCCAAGTCCCAAGGCACATGCTCGTTATTTTTGCTTTGGTTTGATTTTTGGCAGTTGAGGGCTGTATTTTCCTTTACCTGGGCTCATCATTTTTAACACTGTTTTTCTTAATCACTTAATTTGCTTTGCTTCTTCGGTCTCTGAAACTACCTTTGCCTAGAAGTTCCCTTCAGTAGAAGGACCAAACAGAGCGAGCACACTTATCACTTATAATTCATCCCCTGGATGAAGGTGACTCCATGTCTGAGTCCCTGAAAGTGTGGTCGGCCACTGAGCCACAACCAGCATCCATCTCCTCCCAGCCCTCTCGTGAAGTGAGGAAAAGAGGTTCCGGTTCATAGGAGCCCCTGAAGTCATGTTACTGTTCCCTGCAGCTGAACGCATTCCAAATGGAAGCAACTAGCTTGTTTTCAGGTTGGTAAAAAGAAAACCAACGTTCTGTAATCAGGAGCTCAGCAGATAATCGTGGTTCATCTCAGTTTGGAGCTCACCATTCCATTCTATTTGTGTGCTATTTAAAAGAATCCTTATGGGATGCCTGGGTGGCTCAGTGGTTGAGTGTCTGCCTTTGGCCAAGGGCATGATCCCAGAGTCCCGAGATCGAGTCCCGCATCAGGCTCCCTGCATGGAGCCTGCTTCTCCCTCTGCCTATGTCTCTGCCTCTCGCTCTGTGTCTCTTATGAATAAATAAATAAAATCTTTTTTTAAAAAAAGAACCCGTAAAGTTCATGGGGTTTATGAAGTCAAAAAGCCCCAGCCAATTTCTAGTTCTTTACTCTGCATCTCTCAACAAGTCAGTTTTACACCCTCATGCTTCTTACTTCCTGTTCCCAAGATGACTGCCACAGCTCCAAGAATCAGAATCTTGCACTAGCATCCAAAGGAAAAAGAACAACAGGGATGGTGGGGAAAGGGGCTTTCCTCTTCTCAGGTAAGAAACTCTCCCAGAAGCCTTAGCAGACTTCCTTTACAGTTCATTAGCTGAACTAGATCTCATGGTTGCAAAGAAGAAATGAGAAAAATCTTCATTTTATAAATGACAAAACACATTGAAAAAGGTAAAGTCATATGACTAAGAAGTGTCCATTTGGAACCCTAGTCTAGGTCGTTAGGTTCTGAATTCCAGAGGATTCTGCTTGTTCCTCTATGCATGAGCCAACAGAAAGAGCCAGGCTGAAAAAAAAAAAAAAAAAAAAAAGCCAGGCTGCTCATACCATTGCCTCATCCCTGAATGTCTTCCATGAGACATCTTTTTTAAAAAAGATTAAGATTCTTTTTTTAAAAAAATATTTTATTTATTTATTCATGATAGTTACACACAGAGAGAGAGAGAGGCAGAGACACAGGCAGAGGGAGAAGCAGGCTCCATGCAAGGAGCCCAACATGGGATTCGATCCCGGGTCTCCAGAATCGCGCCCTGGGCCAAAGGCAGGCGCCAAACCGCTGCGCCACCCAGGGATCCCCATGGATAAGATTCTTATCATGTGCCCCAAATTACAGTCTTCTTTTGGGGTCCTCTTTGCTCAGTTCTACTCTATCATAGAACTGCCTACAGTTTCGGCAAAGAGTAAAATAAATCATATGGAAAATTTTAAATGAACTAATAGATAACTATCCATACCATTATGTGTAAAGCTATAACCCAAAAAAAACTTTATAGGCTGACGGAGAGAAGAAAAATCAATAAATGAAGAATGATTAACTAGAAGCAAAGAATTATGAAAAAGAAACTAGCTATGGTCTATGAAAACACTTTATTTTGCCATTACATTTACTTCTATGTTGAGTTTTAATTTTTGACACTGTAACTGTGAACAAATTAATGCTTGTTTTTAATACAGGAAAGCTGGTGACAAGGTTTGTCCCCTGGGGTGCATGCTATGTGATGACTTCCTTCCTTCTGTGATTTCTTGAGCTGAACCACTTCTCTTTAGCCGCAGTCCTTCGTGGTGATGGAGCAGCCCTGTCTATGACTCTTTCCTTGGAATTTACCTTACTTCCATGAGTAGCCATGGAAGAATCATTTTTACAAAAAGAAGTAATGTGCAGAGTTATAACTCTACCCACATGAAAAAAAAATCTTTTACGGGTCACGTGGGTGGCTCGGTCAGTTGAGTGTCTGATTTGATTTTAGCTCAGGTTGTGATCTCAGGGCCCTGGGATGGAGCTCCACATCGGCCTCCCCACCCATCTGGGAGTCTGCTGCTCTCTCTCTCCTGCCCCCCTCTGACCTTCCTTCTGCGCACACACGCACACGCGCTCGCACGCACGCACACACATCTCTGTCTCAAATAAATAAATAATTTAAAAAAAAAAACCTTTTACATAATTATGCAGAACAGTTTAGCAGCTCCTTGTCTGCAGACTTCTCATTTCAAAAAGGGACCTTTGTTTCACCTTTGTACAGCTCAACAGCTTTTTCCCCCAAAGTATTTTCCTTACAGAGATAAAAGAGCTGTCTAAGCTTCAGAAGTGAAATTCAGACCTCCATCTCCAGAAATGTGGTGTCGGTTTCTCTGTCCTCAGAGAAAATTGCTGGCATCCACCTCTCTGTCACTCCCAGCTGGGAGAATAAGATGCCATTCATTCATTCATGCATCCAGCTATCACTTATGTTGTCAAGTGCTTGCTCTGATTCTGGCACTGTGTTAGATTCTGCGGGTTTAGAAATGCGTAAGAGATAGTTCTGTGTTCTAGGAGCCTGCTCACCATGGTCTGGTGGAGAAGTAAACAACATGATTATTGGATTTGTGTGCTGTCTTCAAACTGTTACCAGAATTCACAGGAAAGTTGTCCCTAACTGTTAACTCCCATGACCCTAAAGGCTTCACAGAGAAGGACATGTTTATGCTGAGTGTCCCGATCTTCTACTAAATGCCAGCACTGTTCTGTCCCCACTGTCACTGAGGTGAAAAGAGTAAATAAGCCTACGTTCCTGCTCTCAGAGCTTACACAGTGCGGGACAGAGGGTGCAGACAAAGCCAAGTAAACAATTAAACAAGATCATTGTAAATCTGATTCAGTGGCTGAGGAAGAGGCTAAGCTGGGGAGGTGGGGGCAGGAGCAGCATCTCTCCAAAAAGAAGTGAGCTGATAAGGTGAGAAAAGAATATTTAAGCAGCAGGGACTGTGTGTGCAAAGGCCCCGGGATGGGAAAGTATGTACTCAGGACTCAAAGAAAAACAATGCAGCCCAAACGTAGAGAAGAATGGCGTGAGACAAGGAGAGAAAGAAAGGAGAGGCTAGCAGGGCCTTCGGAGGCCATTTTGAGAAGAGATGCTGATTTTCTTCCAAGTTTAGTAGAAACCCTTAGGAGGCTTTAAGCAGCGGAATTGCCTGATTGCAGCTTTGATGAGCTCACTTTTGTTGCCATGTGGAAAGAGGACTGGATGAGAAAGAGCAGGGAAGAAGGGAGAACCATTAAAAGGCTAGAGATGATGGTGCCCTGAACAAAGGCAATGGCAGTGAAGAGAGAGACAAGAAAAGAGGTTCAAAGGGTATTTTAGTAATAGAGTCAAAAGTACCTTGCCGAGGTCCCCGGGTGGCTCAGTCGGTTAAGTGTCTGACTCTTGGTTTCAGCTCAGGTGTGATCTCAGGATCGTGGGTTGGAGCCCTGCGTCCTGCTCTGTGCTCAGTAGGAATCTGCTTCTCTTCCTCTCTCCCTCTCCTTCTACCCCTCCTCCCTAAAAAAACTAGCCTTGCTAACTGATTGGATGTGGAAGGATGAAAAAGAGAAACATGGTGCTTTGAGGGAGGAATGAACTAATGAGACACATCTGAAGGACATAGATAGAGCCTAGGACATAGTGAGCTCTCAGATGGGCATGAAGAATTAGAAAGCCAGTGCTGACCCCAGAGGAAGTGTTTCCATACACTGTGGGGGCTGCTTCAAAAACCAGGTCACCACACGTTGTGGCACAAATGAAGAGTTGAGGCTGTGAGCGGATCCACCTCCTGTAGCCCCTTGACTAAGAACAGAGAAAAAGGATAATTGTTGGGTTTCTCCAGATTTCCAATAGGGAGAGAATTCAGGGGGCTGTATCTTCTAACAGTCTCAACAACATTTCAACCTGTTTAGAAGCCAGAGTGATGGGGATGATAAAGGTCTAAAGGAAGTCACTGATGAGCAAAGTCCAGAGGAGAGGAGGCAGGAACACATATCCTTTCCTCTAAAGAGGAGCTAAACTGATCCCAAAAAGGTCATAAGAGGGTCTATGAGGCTGGGGAGGAGGAACAGGTAAAATGGAGGCCACCTGACAGCCTGTCTCACCTTTCTAAGGGTCTTCAGTTATAGAGAACAGGGAAGAGCTGAAAGT